ATTGAAATATTTATTGCTAGGACCATACCGTTTTAGTCATCATAGTTTGTGTGTATGTGTATACATTTCAATTAGACAGAAAAAATTGTTTCACTGTGGCATATTCACAGATGCAAATAACATACTTTGACCATATCCACCCTCTTTTACAGTCCTCCACCCTCCGTTTCCCTCCCCATGATCCCCTTCCTCTTAGAGTTTCCACCTTACACTCACTTTGTCTTTTCACCTCCCCCACCAGCTCCCATATGTGAGAGAAAACAGCAAAACTTGTCATCTGCACTGACATTTTCAAAAGATATTCTGTCACTCCACATGGACAAGTGATACACCAAAAAAGAGGCTTTATATACTTAAGTAAGTTTGAAATCACTGTGTTTATTTACATGTTCATGCCTTGGAGCCTCAACATACTTAAGCATGTGGTGACTCTTCAAAGAACACACCAGGGTGCCACATTCATCATAGAACTAGAGCTCAACTCTGAAGAACAGCTTCCAAAATTTGACAGTTGGATTTTGAAGCTTTGAAAACTGTTATGGTTTGAACCTTGTACCCCAAAAGTTCATGGGTTGGAAACTTAACCCCAAAATTCATATGTTAATTGCTTTTGGAGATTAAACCATAGATGTGTGATTGACTTAATGAATAAATTAATCTATTCATGGATTAATGGGCTATTAAAGGAGTGGCTTTGTTATAGGAACAGCTCTCTGGTACATTAGTTCTGTCTAGCCATGCAATGCCTTCTGCCTTGTTATGATACAGAGAGAAGGTCCTCACCAGATGCTTAGTAGATGCTAGTAAGATGCTGTCTAGACTTCCCACTTTCCAAACCCATAACATAAGTAGACCTCTGTTCTTTACAAATTACACTGTCTCCAGTACTTTGTTATAGTAGCAGAAAATRAACTAAGACAAGAACTGATACTTGATTTTGTAAATTTCACATCCATTGCATACAGATGTCATGAGAGTGAATACACACACACTACAAGCAACCCTACACACCTCCAAGCATTCATTGGACATTTGTAGAACAAAGAACAGATAAGGCTGGAGACTGTCATAGATGACCACAGTTACATTTCAAATATGGATTTCAGCTTCAAAGCCTGTGAGGTTTATCTTAGATCCCTCTATCAAAAGCAGGCAGCCTGAACTTCAGGTTAGAGAACTTGGGTCGTGGTTGCCTTACCTGGAAATGGAATGATAATTCCTTCCCTGTCACCTCCCAAGATTGCTACGAGGATCAAATTAGATAATCTACATAAAAGTATGTTTTGAACGGTAGAGTGGTTAGCAAACAGACATAAATGAGGGTGTTGTGTTACATGAAAGCCAAATTTTATAGATTTAAAATAGTCAAGATGGTCTTGAGGAACTGCACTTACCCCCTTAACAACAGTATTTCCACCTCTCTCCTCTCTTGGCTTGAACATGGCCAACTCTAAAGGATCAGAGACTCTCCACAGACAGATGCTAAACCTTCTCACCTCTACCATTCAGCCTCCTGGCCAGTTGCTGGATCATGAGGACTTTCAATTCTCTGTATTAAAGAGCTGAAGAGGAAAGAAAAGTCAGCTTCCACTTAAACCAAAACTAAAGCCACCGGTGGCTTCCCTCTGTCTGGGCTCAGGCCTCTAGGTCATCCGCAGAGGTCCTTCCTCCCTGCTCAGTCACAACAGCACCTACAATTCATTTCTTTAAGTAAACAATTGGCTTCTCTGTTTCTCACCTCCTTCAAAATACAAATACACTCAAGAGGAAAGAGGAGGTTGTGTCTCTTATACTACCGTGTACATAAGCAAATTCAATTCAGGTTCTTTCCTCCTTCCCCAGAGGGAAATAGAGTCATTATGAAGTGGAACGAGCAAGCATTTCTCAGTCAAAAAGGCCTTGCTTGAAGGGTTCTGCTCTTTCATAACTCCATGATCTTGAACAAATTTCTTCTTCTGTAAATTGAGGTTAATCATACTTCTTTATGATACCTTATAACTTCCTTAGATTATTATAAAAATTAAATAATGCAATGCAAGAAAAAGCATCTGACATAGGATTTCTGCTAAATATTTGTTTCTTCTCAACCTCATGTCCCATGAGAGCTTTGGGAGCCTGAAGAGAGCTTAACCTCTCAAAGGTAACAGGCCCTGCGAAGCTACATAAAGTCATTAGAAAACAGTTGTTTGCCTCTGGATGAAGGTTCATCATTGCTAACAGTGCTCCCCAAAAAAGTCAGAAGATAAAAATCCAAAAACCAGAGCATGATGCTTCCAAATTATACAATGTGCACACTGCACCCTTACCCTCTGGGCCTTCTAAGTTCCAAATACAAAGTTCACAGTCACTGCATCTCATCTGAAGAAGCATGCCTTAGTCAGGGTAGGCTCGTTACTGTCACAAACAACTCCAAAGTACCAAAGCTTCCATGTACTAAAAGCTTGTTCCTAGCTGGCAGCAGAGCACAACACTGTGCAGGGGCAATGCGGCACTCCGCAGTCATTCAGGACCCAGCCTCTCCCAGGGGATCTGCAACTTCTGACCAACAGACAAAGCACAGAGTGTGGGCCATGTAGGTTTTCTTAGGAGGGTCACACTTCAGCGGGAAATGGCATAAATTTTTCCACTTGCATTTCTTTGCCTCTGCCAACTGCAAGGGAGACGGAAACATTGCTTACTGGGCTTTCCAGAGGAAAAAGGTAAAGAAGATTGGTGCATACATCCCAGACAGAAGGTTCTAGAGTACCTGCTGTTAGAATGCTGGAGGTGGTTCAAAATAAGTGTCTCTATGTACAAAAAGATAAAAAATGATCAAAAGGGGAAGAGTCAATTAGCCTGATGGGCTGCAAATCAGTACTGCAGAGCTTGAGGAGAGATTCCCGTTTGCACCTCAGGACAACTTGAGATGCCATTTCCCTGGTCTGGGACCACATCTCTTTAATCCCCTCCTACACTTCTAATGTCAATTTTAATTCTTTTATGTTGATTCTAATACAGAGACTGATAAGTACTCTTTAAATATAAAGTTTTCTATCACTGCTCAGTAAATATTCATTTGAGTGAACTCTCATTGTAAAGGGTTAACCGAAATTGCAAATCCAAATTAAACCAAAGGAAAAAACTTTGAAATTACACATCTTGCATAGACCAACTCATATTTAACTAAGTCTTTCTCAAATATAAATGCTATTGCTAAGATTATCAAGCCAACTGAAGACTTTCCATTATATGAAATTTTAGATTTCATTGTCAATCAAAATAAATTCAAATTTCATATACATGAATACAAAGTTTCCAGGTATTATAATTAGCTGTTCTATTATAGTAGTAACTCCTTCCTTGGCCTCATATCTTCTTTCATCCACTACCCCACTTTTATTTTCTCCTTTATAGCAAAACTCCTCCAAAGAGGTATCTATATTTGCCATTCCTGTGTCTATCCTCCTCTTCTTTCCTCCTCCCCCACAGAAACAAGCTTGGTGAGGCCAGCAGAGACTGGCACATTCCAGCGTGGCGGCCCACTTCAGCTCTCTCCTGCCTTACCAACCTAACCACTTCCTCCTGCTGGACTGGGTCTTCACTCAGCACACCACACTCTTTGGGTTCTTCTATGCCACTGATTTCTCCTTATTTTCCTTTGATGGTTTCTTTTGATCCTCCTGACCTTTAACTACTAGAGCATCCCTGGGGCTCAGGACTTATTATCAATGTGATGATATCCAGTGTCCTACTGCAATAGGGTTGGCAGGTGGGGTGTTGGGGAGGTGTTCAGGTCACAGGGAAGGTGTTTAGCCTCATATGCATGACAGTGGGGTGGGGGGTGAGTCCAGAATCTTCTAAGAATCACAGAATTAAAAATGAGCAAAATAAATGTTTTTTGAAGGATACCTATGAATGTTATAGCATTGTAAAGAAACTGAAGGTGATGATTATTACAAAAGTGAGATAGCCATTATTTCTGGGCATTGAGAATAGGGAGGGCACATGGGACCTCGGGTGGTGACGGTGTTGTTTTTCTTGACTTAGTTACTTTCTGTCTGGGTGTTTATTTGGTAGTTATTCATTAAGCTTCTCACAAAGGTTTATGAACTTTCCTGTTTGACTTTTACGTTGCACTCCATGAAAAATTACAAAAAGTCCAGTTTTAGCCACATGTCTTGGGTACCTTTTTTTGAGTATTTTTATTTTTATGCCCTTCTTTCTAGATGACTCTAGAGTCATAGTTTGTCACATTTATAGGAGTCTCTTTTCTCCAGGGATCCTCCTGTCCACTTCATATACTAGATATAAAGATGCTCTAGTATCAGTAAATAAATATACTAGAGAAATTACAGAAAGTCATGTGGTCAAGTGGCTGCTGTCCAAACGCTGTTCTGCTGTTTGTGGGTAAACCGGGCTTTACTGTTCTTCTAATATGTTTGTAAAATTTTTATTCAACATCATTCTTATTTTTGTTGCTATTTGCAGGACTGGGGATTGAATTCAGGATCACACTTACCACTGAACTACACCCCCAGCACTAATTTTTTTTCTTTTGTTTTGAGATGGAGACTCACCAAGTTACCCCAAACTCGAAACCTTCCTTCCTCAGCCTCCTGGGCAGCTGGGATTACAGGTGTGCACCACCATGCCCAGCTCCAGTCTAGTATAAATTAAATTTAACTTCAAGATTTGTAGAAAACTAATCTCCAACCCTAGGCTCATAAAATTTAATTTATTAACTACTGGATGGAATGGCTTTTACCTTTCAAGACTGTTGTGAGAATAAAATGAGGTGCTGAATGGTAGCTACAATGAGTTTAATGAAATAAAGCAAATAATAACATAAATGGTTACTCTGGAACCAGACAGTAACATTCTTCCATTGCATAAATTTAAGGAAAAACTGTAACAATGCACTTAATGTAGTTATCTGTTTTAAACATTGTCCTCTCATTGTTTGACTGTATTTCTTTTCTTTTTTGATGGTAGATTCTAATTTTTCCCTCCCTGTATCCCAGGACTTTTATTTATGCATTGCTCACCAGAGGGAGACCTTTTCCAGTTGCCTTCCTTTTCAGAGGAAGTATCTTCTGTGTTGGAAATGGGTTCCTTCAAGCCTACTATCTGATTTACTGTGCAGAATACCCTGAAGAGTGGTACACCGACATCCGGTTTAGCCTGGGTAAGTGAATCTGACCAGCTCTCACCCACTACCCAGCTGATGCCCCTTTCCAAGGTGTACATCACCACAGCCTCCCTCCATCCTACTGTGGTAACCTCTGAATGATCCTGTTCTCCTCCTCTCTCCCCCCTACCCTGATCTTCCCTCAGTGTGGAACTCATATAGAGGGATCTCAAACCCATCTAATAGATTTCCATTGCTCTCAAGACCATATGTACATTCCTAACCACAGCCTGTGAAACCAAAAAGTTGTTCTGAAGCTCCAGCCACATCCTCCTGCTTCTCTCTCCCTCATGTCCTGGGCTAGCCCCAGGACCTTCCTGCTGTGCTGGAAACAGTTAGCCTGTCCTGCCCAGAGCCTTTGTGCAGGATTCTCCCCCTGCTTAGAATGCTGTGCTTCATGTGTCCATGGAACTTGGTCCTCATTTTATTGAGGTCTCTAACAATTCACAGCTCCTCAAAAAGACTTCCTGACTGCCTATCTAAAAGAATGGAAGATATTGATCATTGGTTTGTTTTTTAATTTTTTTTGTAAGCTCACTCCTTTGAATACTGCTTTGACTCAAAAAAAAAAAAAGGACAATACAGATTATTCCTAATCCCTCTTAGTATCACAAATCACATTCCACCCATCAATTTTATACTTCTGGATCTGTCTCCAGAACATGGGACAACTGGACTCTCTTCTCCCTAAATTGTATTAATTTCTGTTTAGTCCACAATTGCCTAGACTTCCAGAGCTCCAAAATCAGTTTTCTGCCTCCATCCTGTCCTTCCACAGCCTGCTTACATTTTCCATACAGCAGTCAGGGTGAACACTCAAACCCACAAATGACCAAAGGGTTTGTTGCATGAATATAGATACATATCCACCATAGACCACACCACAGACACAAAGACAAAGAAACAAACAAAACAAAGCAAAACCAAAAAAACAAGGGAGTGCTCTGTGCGTTCATGCAGAGACACCTCTGGGATATGTGGTTAAATAAAAATAAATTAAAGTGTGAACTGTGTGTATAGGATGCTATTTTTTTTATGTAGAAATGGGATAGAGGAACGTGTGTGTGTGTGTGTGTGTGTAACTGGGAAGGAAACACTGGAAATATAAAAATCTCCTACATGTCTCTGGGTAAAGAGATCAGGGTGAGTATACCTTACCATATACTCAACTGGTGATGTAACCACACAAGAAAATAGCCAGTTCACAGGAAGTGTGGGACACAGGCAAGTGAAATACCTCCATGAGGAAGTAAGCCAGTCGTATCTAGAAAAATGGACAATTCTGAAGGACAACGGTCTAATCTCTTCAATGAGTGAGAGTCCTAAAACAAACAAACAAGAAGAAGAATTAGGAGGAGGAGGAGAAGAACAAGAAAGGAAAGAGTCAAAATTAAAAGATATAACATCCAGGTGTAAGATGTGGCCTTACATTGGACCTTGGTTTGCACAAACCACTTCCAAGGGGGATCTGGGAGACATCTAAGAAAACCAGAATATGATCTGAGTATTAGATAAGGTACTTATCAAAAAAGAATCTATATCTTGGCATCAGCTTCTTCAAGAGAACTTGTTACTTTCAAATCTTTTGTTGTTGTTGTTGTTCTGATGGGACAAGCCTCAATCCATCTTGAGAAAGGTATCTTCTCTTACAAGCAAATATCTGAAGTTTTCCCAGGGAATGGGTATTTGGATACAATTTACTTGCCAATCATTGAAGGGCTGTGTTCCTTTTACAGTAAGCTGCTTTTCAGTCTTTGGATTGTTCTGGGCATATATGACACAGTTCTGATTTAGCCACTAAGCAGCTGGAGCTGTGACCCTCACAAGAAGGCTTGATGACATTCACCAAGGTGCTCCTTACACAGTGGACATTCTCATGTAGGTGCCAGACCAGTGCTTTAGGCAGGAGGTTGAACCCATGGGAATTCTGTTTTTCCACTTGGCAGCGCTATCCCAGGAGCCTAAACCCTACTCTGGCCCATTTCTCATCCTCATCAATGTAAGGAGACTGGTCTAATTCAAGCTGAGGTATCAGGGAGCTGATAAACAGTTTGCTCTTTGTGGCTCTTTTGGTTGCTATGTTGGCCTGATTTCACCTGCCCATGGAAGGTCAGTCTTCTGCTAACTGGAACAGTGCGTGATTATTACTTGCTTTTGTCTGGCCATGGCCCCTTTCAATGCTGGAATTTTAAGGGCATGCTTAATGTTCTTGTTTTCAGCGGTGAGGACCACTCTTTCCAAATAGTTGAATGTGCAAATGCTATTATGAAAGCGTATTTTGAGTCAGTGTAAACATTTACCCTCCTTCCTCCGAGTTCTTCTTAAAGCAATGTGCTTAGCTTTCTAGGCTTGTGCTCCTAGCCTTGACTTCTAATACCTGTTGTTCGGGGACCATGCCATATCCAATATTCACAGACCATTGTCCATGAAGCTGCTTCTGTTGGTGAAGAAGTGCCAATGCAGCTCTGTGATAAGATGATCAGACAAGTCCAACCTGACAAACCGTCTCCAAGATCTGCAGATGGGCATGTTGTATTGGCCCATTATCAGCTGGCATCCCTGGATTTAGGGTGGACATGGTTTTCAGTTGACATTTGGGTTGTCTAGTAGGATGACCTGAGAGGTCCCTGTCCTCCTAGCAGTCATCTAGTAGCCACCCCTCTGTTGTAGTAGGACCAGGATTTGATGAGGAACACATAATAATGGGGGGCCCTAGAGTGCACTTCTCAGCCTCTTGTAGTAAATCACAAGTGGCAGTCATTGCTTGAAGGCTGAGGGACCATCCTTTTGTAGTGTGGACAAGCTGTTTTGACAAATAGTTTACCAGTCACTGTATGTCTCCCAGTGCCTGTAAGAGAACCCCAAGGGCTGTACCCTATTTCTCATATACATATGCATTGCATTTCTTATGTAAGTCAGGCAAGCCTAGGGCAGGGGCATCATGAAACTTTCTTTTCTAAAGGAAGTTTGGCATTCTGAGGTCCAAATCAAAGGTTCTATTTTTATTAAGGCCTTTATACAGTGGTCTGGCTACTAATCCAAATATGGCAGAATCCTGCCATTCTCAGGAACCCATGCTACTATCTCTGGTTCCTGGTTCTTTAAGGCTCAAGATAGCCTGGTTCCAATCTGACATTTAGAATCCCAATAGGTGACTTGTTTATAAATCAGAGCCTTTTTAGTGGTTATCTTTTATCTGCATGACATGAGGTGAGTCAATACAATAATAGTGTTTGAAAGGCAGAGTTCGGCTGGGGCCAAACATCAGCAGGTCATCCACTTATTGCAAAAAGATTCCTTGATCCAGCTGTCACGCCTGCAGGTCTTTTGCTGGGTGCTCATTAAACAGACTAGAGGAGGTTCTAAATCCCTCAGGCAGGACAGTCCAGCAATACTGGGTAGWTAATTTGGTGTCATAGTCCTGCCACTTGAAAGAAAACAGTAATTGGGATTTCCTTTCCAGTAAACACAGAAGAATGCATCCTTTAAATCCAGCACTGTGAACCAGCCTTTGTTACCTGGACTCATGGTCAGCAGGGTGTAGTGTGGAAGCCAGTGGTGGCAGTTGGGCTCTGAGGGTTTTTCCTGAGGAGCTGTTTTGCTTGGCGTTTGTAGTTCTAAAAATAAAGTTAGTTTCTTTTGACAAGTGGCTCCTGAATTGTGCCCAGCCAGACTGCGGCAGTGTAGGGATTTGGTACAGTAGACTGAATATCCTGGACAATATAATTTATAGCTCTCAAGTTGCACAAATCGGTGCTCATCAGTGTCAGGTTTCCTCACTGGCAGAATAAGGATGTTGTAGAAGGACTGGCAGGGCGGAATCCATATATGTTTTAAAAATTTTTCTAGAAGAGGCTGAATCCCTCTCAATACCGTTCTCCTAAGGGAGTATTCCTTCTTCTTGGGGGAGGCTATCCCCTCCTTTGTAAGATCGTAAGGGAGCACTGACTGCCCTTCCGAGGGTCCCATCAGCCTATGTGGACTTCCTCACTTTCTTGTACACCTCCAGTAGAGAAGGCTTCCTTTTTCTGGTTGGTAAGCAAAAGCTGGAACTGGAGAGCATTGTCTAGTGGCACTTGCAAATGAAGTCATTGCTTTTTGTGCGGAAAGGTTATTTGAACATTTAGTTTACATAACAAATCTCATCCCGGGAGAGGGAGCAGGCAATCTGGCATGGACGAGAAGCTATGCCTTCATCTCTGCTCTTCTAGTGCACATTCAAGGGGTTGGAGCAACAAAAGCTTCTGAGTGTGACCTGTCAGTCTACTACTGCCTTGGTGTCATTGATGTTAAATGTTTCCTCACTGTTAATTGTCTCCAGGGCCCCTATGGGGTTGTGTTTTAATAGTAGGCACACTGATTTATTTTTTTCCCAATGGAGAGCAGTTCTTCCCATTCTTTCCTCTAGACTTTTTATTTTTTGAGGATCCTTTTGCAGGGCCGCCATAATACATGGGTTGGCTTTAGTTTCTGTTCTTCCTGGATACTGTGTACATTAAAGGCATTATCAGCTAGCTGTGAAGGGTTTATGTCAATCTTTTTTTATGCGCTGAAGCATTCTGCCAATGTCTGGGATGCCGTGCCCAATGAGGGTCATATTGACCCTATGCAGGTTTTCAGGAGCTGCATCAGTGTCTTTCCCATATGTGTGATAGATTGGCTCTAAAAATTCGGAGGTATCCTCACAACACTTAGAACAATTTTTAAAAAAATTAGCAGATACTTAGAGGCATTGGTTACTTTTGTTTTTGAAATCCTCCCTTCTGTTGTTAAGTTTTTCTCTGTGGACATTAGCAGGGCTAAGAGGCAGGTGCCTTCATGCATGGGGACTCCAGGAGACCCTGACACCCACTTGGCTCTGCGGCCAGAACACAAGGCACCACCCAGATGTGTCCATGGGAGGTGGGACAGCACAGTGGTTCAGGGCATGTAAGGTGGGGGGAGGGGCAAGTGCAGGAGGAGGGCCATGAAGGCCACATTTATCTCCCGTGTGGCCTTGGGTGACAGTCATGGCTCAGGGAGGCTCTGGACCTTGGGCTTGGATTCTGGAGTTGGGTTCCTGCAAAGATGGCTCCTCCTTCTCCCCATAGGAGCATGGGCCCTGCTGCTTGAGGTACAGGATCTAGGTACAGGCCAGGCAGTACATGACCTTTAGATTCTTCAGTTGGGCTTTCCAGGTTCTGGGGTTGACACTACTTTTTGCCTTCCATTTTGAGCCAGACGCCTTGGGGCCCAAGGTTCCTCTGTGAGCACCTGGTTACCACCCTGACTTGGAATTCTAAAGTCAGTTGGAAGAGGTGGCAGCTTTGGGGATCTGATCTTTGAGCTGTGGCCAGGCCTTCCTAGCTCTGCGCAGCTGTGCCTTCTTTAGGCTCCTCTGTGTGTTTGTGCCAGTAGGGCAGTGCTCTAGTGGAAATTGCCCCAACCTGGCAATAGGTGTTTCCTGGTCAAAGGGAGTGAACACCATTCCTGTCCCTGAGCCATAACCTGGCCATGTCAACAGTGTGTGTGGGAGGAGGAGGAGGGGCTTTGTCACTACATGGCCTGTGGCAGGTCATCCATGGGTATGGGAGAATTTGCTGGTGCTGGAGCCAGGATGGAGGTTGCACCAAGCCAGCTGGCACAAGTTTAAAATTGGGATTGAAAGGGTTCATTATATGGAAATTTATTAAATCTTCCTCAGTTTTCTCTTCTGGTACTCCACTAACCTTGCAATCTAGAAAAGGTGCCTTTCTCTGCCCAGTCAACTTAGCTCCTGGCCATTCAGATGACTTCTTATGTAACTGCGTAAATGCTTGCACACATGGACTCTCATTCCATTTTCCTGATCTCTGGCAGAGTAATTCCAACTGCAAGATTGTACGGTAATTCAGAGGACCATCTGGCAGCCACCTTCCCTCACTTTCCAACACACACCTAAGCCAGGCAGTGTTGCAGTAAAACATTAAGGATTATAAGCACACAGACAACTGAAAGAAATTCCCAAAATCAAGGGTGACCGATGGGAATCTCTGAAGTACAGACAGAACAGATGGGAACAAATCTTCTAGGTTCCCTAATCCCACTCAACTGTGATTCCTATACTAGAGGCATCCCAGTTGCCCCTTCTGTGGGGAGACCAGATATGTGGACCCCAGGGTCTCAGCATGCATGCTGGGGACTCAGCAGACGATCAAGGATTTACAACTTCACTGAACTTAGTTTTCTTTTTCTCAAATAGGCCAAATGGTTGAGTGGGCCCTACCCATTCAGGGAGAGAAAGGGGAGTTCTGAAACGAAGGGAGCATTGGCAGCTGCTGGGACTGTTCCTCAAATTCTTCCCTTTTTCATGGGATGGCATCTCCATCAAAATGGTCCAAACTAGGGCTGGGGCTGGGGCTCCGTGGTAGAGCGCTTACCTAGCACATGTGAGGCCCTGGGTTCAATCCTCAGCACCACATAAATCATAAATGAATAAAATAAAACTATAAAAAATGTTCCCCCCCAAAACTGTTCTAAACTGAGGAAAATTTACCCCATCTCTGAAGTCCTAAGTGGTCAACTATGAATGAGCCCACCAGCCACTTCACACCCTCAGCATAGAAGAGAGTGGAGAATGGAGGGGGCCATCAGAATTCTAGACCTGTCCAGAAGTCCAGAGCACAGAATGCTTTCAGGTACTGTTTGGGTCACCAATTGATACCAAAAGTTCAATATTTGTTCCTGATTCCAGTCCAAATAATAAGGGCAAAGTTTATGAGAAAAAAGTTTTATTGATTTGCTAGCAAAGGGGAAGGCAATGGATGGATCCAAAGACTACCATCTCACTGCCATCTCAGTTGAACTAAAAGGGGACTACAAGGACTGGGCTCCAAGTATAATTATTATACTGGATATTTTTATAATTAATATCCAGCTGGTGTCCTTGAGAGAGCCATGGCTCCGGTTCCCAGGTCCGGAGTTTATTCTTTTAGTGAACAAGGAACACAAATCTTAGATTGGGATGGGAAACGTATTAATCTTGTTTCTCCTGCTGTTAGGGACAGGGAGAAGGAAAGGCAGAAGAAAAAGGATAAAAACATCACAGTTTTAAAATAAGCTACCAAGCAGCAAGGTTTACACTCCAAGCATGAAGGGAACTCGCATTACAACACTGCTTGGAATGTAACGTTTGGGCATGTTTAGTCATCTTCATGTAAAGATGGAAGCCATGGAGCAGTGAAATGCTACAGTTAACATCACACAAACACAAACCTGTAAAGACTAGTGCTATCAACAAGTCTAATTTGGAGGACATCAACATGGTAAAGTGTTCTCCTAAGCTTAAGGCTTATACACTTGGGGAATGCAAATGCACTTCACGTACAAGATAGCCAGTAATAACCAGCACCACAGATACATGCAAGTCCTTTATAATACACCAATATGGCTTTTACTTTTAAAGAAAAACCTATGTATCAGTAGGATAACTATAATAGTGTTGCTTTGCTTTTCAAACAGTTCTATACAAGTTGAAAAACTAAAGGAACACTTCAAATCTGGCTCCAACCATAAAAAAAAATCACAACTTAGTAATGACCATTTTATACATTCATTCAGACGTGATGGCTATTGTATAAAAAAGAACACTTATTGGTTACATGTCATGAATTAAATCGACGTATCTTTAACTATAATTTTTTGAGTGATGTTTAGATAAAACTCAGATACATGGAATGCCTTGCCCTCATATATACCCATACCTTTAACAAAACAAGAAAAACCAAATGTATTATTTTACATGTTCTAAAACATCTATTTTTTTTGTACTAAAATTAAATTTTCTTCAATATAAAAAGGACTTTTTATCTTAAACATCTAACAAAGAAAAGTACAATCCTGATTGGTCAGATAGATGCCCAGACAAAAATGTATGCTAACAATTCTGAAGAGATTTTAATTTTTATTTTACCAGTAAATTTAAATGAACACATTTGCTTACTCATTTATCTGTAAATCAATTTGAATAGAATTTCCTAGGAGATTTTATTATTATAGATACACAATTAACCCAAAATTTTCAGGTCACACAGAGGTTGAGTTTTAAAAGATTTCTTTTTCTTCTTCTCTCTCCTTTTCTTTATCTTGGGGCAGGGGAGCTCTTTAGCATCTCATCTCTTTTTTACACGTAGAGACATGTAAGTACATAGGCTCAAAGGCACCAGAGATCCAGAACTGGGTACAAAGTCCAACAACGATCTCACCTGCCTTTCAGTACCAAGTTTCAAATGGCTGAAATGCCAAAATGGTGAGATTTTCACCTATACAAATGCTACCAAATGTAAATGACAGAAGTGCCCAGATGGCAGAGAATGGGAGGTCCCAGTGTGCACATCAGAGTGACTTACCCAGCCTAAGAGCCTCCTGGCTTACCCAAATGTCAACTGCTTGCATCAACAAGGTGCTTGGTCAGGATGCACCATGAATGATGAAAACAAGGGCGAATTCCCAGAATAAAAGGGGGTCTTGCAGCTACTCGAGTTAGTACAGACACTTCCCCCATCCTGGGGGCTGGCTGTGCCACAGGCAGCAGTCCTCCTGGCTGGCTCACCAAATTTGTCATGGGAACAAAGTCAGGCTGCTTACCCTATGACAGGTCAGTTAAGTTGGAAAGATAAAATATTGAGGCAAGGAAGGTGAGTTACTCCAGAAGCCTGCTAGAGGAAAAAGCCCTTCTTGCTTGGATGCTGATTTGGGAGAGTTTTATACAGATGGTTGATGGTTGTTCCTTACATAGTGCAATTCATGGTAATGCATAAAAACACCTCCAATGCCGGTCTTCAAAGTGACTTACTGAAGGGCACACAGACAGCTAGTCTGAGGTTCCTTTTATCCCCCCACTGTTGTGCATTCTCTTTTCCCCGCTTTCCTCCTTGCCCTAGGTAGGTTGCCTTTCTATTAGGCCATTGATATTTTGATAAGAGAAGGTAGAAAAATCATGATTTCACATCACACCCAATTAGATGAAATTAGATCTGATTGTTTTACTTAAAACTTTTCTTGATTTTTGCCTGCTGAATTTTGATCTGCACAAACACATTTTATTGAGAAGTGTGGTTGGGCCTCTAGGTGGGGACAGAGAATGTTTCTGGACTGTAGTACTGCCCATCGGGATGAAGGACCTAGCATGCTTGATCCTGGAACTTCTTACCCAAGACCAGGACTATTTCTGTACCAGTGGATGATATTCATGGAGACACCTTCAGGATATGTGGTTAAATTAAATGAAAAAGCTATGAAGAGTATACATACTATGTTCATATTTTTTACAGAACAAGAAGTTTCCAAAGGAAGCTGTCTTCTGTGTTCCTTTGGTGGCTTACGGATGCCACTAAAAACCCAGATCCTTCCTATGTTAATGCTCCACTGTTCTTACCTGTAGACTTCATTTTAGTCGTTTTATAGTTGCAGGACACTGGCTGCAGCTCAAGATATTACATCTGCAATCAAGTCAGGATGAAAGAGGAAGCAGAAGCATTGGTCCTGTCTGTTCCCTTTATCAGAAAAACAAAAGATATCCAAGAAAGTCCCTAGAAGATTCCCTCTTACATTTTCTGGCAGAGTTAGGGGATTTGATCACTGTTCAGATTTTCAGCCTCTATAGTGGACAAAAAAAGAGGAAGGTAGAATGACTGTTGAGTTAGCCAACCAGTTGATTGGAATGAGCCCAGGGCTGACTATTATTCTTTCATGTATTTGATTAGTTATTTAAGTATGGCACCATGTTGTTGCCTCTTGCTGTCTTCTCTTCTCCCTCCTTTCTCCACCTGACATGCATCACGGCGTATGTCAGCATTTTGGTTTAGGGAACAATAACACACACGCCCCGAAAACTTGGGACCATATCTGAGTACCATTTCTACATTAATTCCTTCATTTTTAGAAAACAAACAAACAAAACAACATGTCTGAAACATATCGAAATCAGGACACATTTTTCAACTTTCTTTCTCTCTTATTTACCAAGGTATCTTCCTATTTATTTTGGGAATGGGAATCAACATTCACAGTGACTATATATTGCGCCAGCTCAGGAAGCCTGGAGAAATCACCTACAGGATTCCACAAGGTAATGCCTTCCCCTACCCACCAGGTTCCCATCTCCCTTGGAGCCTGTCCCAGGGATTAAGCTCTAACAAGTGGAGATAGAGTATCAAAAGCACAAGTATGCAACAAGTCCTGGCTTGCTCCTGACTTCTCCTCCACTCCCTGTTCCCTCCACAGCACATCTGCATTTCTCATATATACCCTGAAGCTCAATAGAGCTACAAGAATCATCAGAAAGCAAGATCACAATATCCTGAAGGTGGAAGAGGGTGCCAGGCATGGGTAGGGTAGGAGTAGATTGCAATCTAGTTGTAGTAGATAAGATAGTTCTGCACCCAGAGTGTAATCCTTTCTGAGTTAATAAACGAAGCTTAAGATTTCATTGCTGTGTCAACATCATAGAATGCACTCACAAGAACCTAGATAGTGTAGCCTACTAAATCCCTTGGCTCTAGCCTGCTTTTAATTTTTTTTTAACTGTGCATATTTTTACCTTTCAAACTTTTTTTTTTGTTAAAAACTAAGACACAAACACACATTAGCCTGGGTCTATATGGGTTCAGAATCATTAAAATCATGGCTTCCACCTTCATATCTTGTCTCCTTGGAAAGTCTTACATGTAATAACACACATTTAGCTTTAATTTCCTATGATAAAAATGATTTTTTTGTGGGGAATAATTGCTTAAGAATGTTTTACAGTTAAGTTTTTTGGTATTCTAAAATAACAAATAATACAGCATAGTAAATTTAAGAACATAGCACATTAGTTTATTAAATTATGTCCTGTACGTAATTTAATGTGCAACACTTTTATATGACTGGCAGTGTGGTAGGTTTTTTTACACCAGCGTTGCCATGAATATACAAGTAGTGCATTGTGTATGAGATTATACTGGCTATGATTCACTCTAATTATCATCTAAAGGGTCACCATTGTATAAGCAATCTGATGTTGACTAAAGCATTGTTATACAGCACCTGGGTATATATTTTTGGGGATATTGAATGTTTTGAAGATGCTGAATATTTGAAATCCTAATTATTCCCAAGAAAGGAGGGTGTGAGATAAACAGATAAGCAGGTAGGAATGGATCAGTTTCAGTAATCCTTTAACACATTGGAAGATTCCAGAACAAGTTATCCAGGAGAACCCCACAAAGCTCCTATGCTTGTAATGGGAGTCTCCAACCCCAACTTTGTTCTAGCTACCTTTATGTGTTCTGGAACAACACATGGAGGGGTGCAATGTCACAAGGATGCAGCTCTGATCATTGACCTTCTGATTCTTCTGCACACAGGTGGTTTGTTTACATATGTTTCTGGAGCCAATTACCTTGGCGAGATCATTGAATGGATCGGCTATGCCTTGGCCACTTGGTCCCCTCCAGGACTTGCGTTTGCCTTTTTCTCACTTTGTTACCTTGGCCAGCGAGCTTCTCATCACCACAGGTAAACTTGTCAATACACGCAGTGGAACCCAGGTAGCTTTCCTCTCCAGACATGCCTTTTAGCACAGGGAGTCTGATTTAGAAACCTTATTTATCTTTTTTTAAGGGAAATTAGATACCATAATCTGGGCTGTAAAACTCTGAAATTTAAGGATTTTGCTGTCATTGCAATTTAGCTGGACGACCCAAGCAGTAAATATTTTTCTAAGAGCAAAAACAAACCCATGTAGATGGAGGCCCCTAAGGTGACAGTTGAGAAGCCGCTGTGTCTACCCTTTGAAGAAGACTTCCCAGCAAGGGCACCTCGTATCTAAGTGACTGTTGACCCCGGTTCTGTGCTTGGGGATGGGTGCTACTTGGCAGTAAGTAAATTGTAGATACTGAGTTAAGAGACAAAAGAAGTCACCTTCATTTCCATGCCCCAGTCCAACTTCCTCCATGATTCTGGAAGTGTGTTCTGTTGGGGAGACCAGGGCCAGCACCTCCCAAAGGATCGCAGATAATTCTGAGGTACAGCTTGGATAGAGAACCTCTGGGAAGAAACACTAGCTGGTGTCTATGTGGATGTTCTTTTTGGGAGCTAGTTTCAGTTCAAGGCTTGGTGCTAACAGTTCAGGTAACCACAGAGTCCTGTCATCTGCAGAAGGATTATTTGTTCTGGAATCTTCCAATGCTGGGGCTTCTTCTGGTACTGTCCTCCTTCCTTTACCCCTCTCCATCTCTCATAGCCAAGGCTATGGTAAGGTAGAGTAAGCAATTGTGTGGAGGGTGCAATTGTTGGACTTCCCCCTCTGCTGGTCATGGCTGGGATTGCAGGCATCTAGAACCTTTCCTCTGAAGGTCTGGTCTACAGCTTCACTAACCCCATTAGGGGTGGGGTGGGGACAAAAAGGAATAACTAAAAGTATCGCTGGAAGGAAACATATGAAGTTGTTATCTTAGTTTAAACCTGAGTGTGATCTTCATATCCATTTCTCCAAATGGCTTTTGGGGCAAGATAAAGCCTGTGATTCCTGGAGACCGAGAGAGGATGATCCACTTTACCTTTTGAATATAGCCCTGGCTGCTCATTTATTTTATTTTTTTAAGATTTTTTGTTTGGTAGTTGTAGATGGATACAATACCTTTATTTTATTTATTTATGTTTACACGGTGCTGAGGATCAGACCCAGGGCCTCACACGTGCAAGGCAAGCACTCCACCACGAAGCGACAACCCCAGCCCTGCTGCTTATTTTTAAAGGGACATATTTTTCTTTTTCTCTTCTCCCTCTCCCTCTTCCTGACCTGGGGAACTAGATTACCTTGAGTTATCTGTGCTTCATAGGAAGGAGATGTCACCAGAAGATCCAGGAAGTGACTGTGTCCCAAGTTAGCAAGTGAATTTCAACACATCTTCAGGGCACATCTGGAATGGAGCCTTTGAAGAGCTTCTTTCAAAGCCCTCTATTTTCCCTGAAGAGCAGAACCACAGACTCTGAGACTGGAGTCCCCAGTGTTTCTCCTTTGCTAACAAAGGATTAAACCTTCTGTTTTCCTTGACTCAAAACCATGTCCTCATGATTGATTGGCATGAGTTGGCATTGGGGACAATTTTGGTAACAAAATTGGTGACCCAGATGGGACCGGAGAGCAGCCCCCACTCCGGCTTTCTGGGGCAGGCCTGGCACTCCAAGCAACCAAACTTCCATGCTGAGGATGTAAGGCAAACTTTTTTGAGAACTGACTGCTGGAAAGTTAGGAGATGGGCAAATGGACCTGGAGTTGAACCAAAGGAGCTATTCCTGTGAGTACAGGGAGGGACTGAGGGATTGTTCCAGCAATTGCTGAAGCACATTTCGCTTCAGGGAACTCCCACCTTCCTTCCCTGAACTATATGGGTCTCTCCATCTTGGTCTACTTTGAGAAAAAGGAAACTGAGCACAGTAAAGTTGTGACACCTTGGCCATTCAGTAAGCTCCCTCAGGGTGCACACTGAGACCCTCAATTCTACACGTTTCCCCTTTGTGGGACATCTGTGGCACCAGTGGTGTAGAGGTCATAGTTAAGTGGGAGTTGGGAACTTTGGGGGGTTTTCCTCTATCTGTTTTGTTTTAAAGGTTCCCATCTGTTGGCCATGGTTTGGGGATTGTCTCTGTTTGTCGGTCTCTATTTTTTGTTTGTCTGTATCTGTTTCTGGCCCTTTAAGACATGGGTAATAATACTGTTTTGATCCTATAGATTGTTTTCTTGGGAAAGATCATGGTTGAATGGGTCACTTATAGATATAAACCTGTCTAAGAAAAAGATGATGTTTTACTGTAACAATCTAGTCTTTGAATGGTTTTCTGAATTATTGTACAATCTTGCAGTTGGGAGTTGGTCTGTCAGAGATAAAATAAGTGAAAGATTCTGTATGTACAGGAACATATGCAATTACATAATAAGGAGTCTTAACAGTCAAAACCAAAGTTGGATATAAAAAAGTGCTGCCTCAAATGTGTGGATATAGCAGGAGACCAAAAGAGGATTAAAAAATATTTTTTTTAAAATCCCTTTCAACCCAGTGCTGACAGTCTGAGCACTGCTTCTCATCCTGGCCCCAGGCAGCTGCAAATCATCCTGCTGTGAGTCAGAGACACCAGTCCTGGGATAAAGGAAAAAAATTCCCAGGAAATCTGCCTGGTCTATAGAGAAATGGGTAGAGAAGAACCTGGCCTCTACCCTGCTTTCCAGCTCCTCTTTGCCCATGGAAATAAAATCAGAGTTTGCGAACGGGGCTCAGTTCACAGCTTCTGTAGACAAATGAAATCTATGTGGGCTGTAGGCCTCACTGATTTCTTTCTGGGTTCTTGTCTCATCAGTTCAAAGAATGAAATCCATGGATGGTGGCAGAGGACAAAAATAAAAGAAATAAAATTAGTTTTGAATGAGAGGGAAAGAAAGTGAAATTCCCCAGGATGTGAGGGGGAAACTGGTGGAAAGCTTTTCCAGTTGAGGACACTAGTCTGGAGACGTAAGGCTTCTGGACAAAGGCATTGACCAGAGTCCGTGCTGAACAGACACTAAAAAGTGTTGGGGCTAATTTTTGGGATCGGTGCTGTACAGATGTTAGAAAAGTACCAAGGCTAGTGGCTTGGCCCATGACTTTCTATTTGGCTGGGTACTTTTAGTCCTTAAGTCTAAACTTTTTGTAACCTCCATTTAGGTCCACCCCCATTTCAATTTTCCCACCACTTTGGGACAAAGAAGTGGACTCAAATGCTTAACCTTACAGGGTTGCCTTTACATTTGAAAAAACCTTATTTGCCACCCATTGTACTCATTGAATAACTAGCCTATTTTATGGGGGTGGGGAGTGGGTAAAAACTGCCAGTCACAAAGAACAGGGCAATGGGTACCAGTACTATTAAATTGTAACCTGGGGACAAAATAGTCTCCTCTTTTAAGATCTGAGAGGATAACCCATTTGGCCAGGGGACATTTCTGGGTGTAGCCCTGCCTGTTGCTCACAGAGCTAAAATACAAGGACCTCCTGAGTCCCCATGTACGCAAGCATCTGTGTCTTGGCCCTGATGGTTTCTGCAGAGAGAGGTCCCTAAAAATCTCTGTAATGGTCAATGTGACCTTCACTGGACAGAGTGCCCTAGATGTATATAAAGAGAGAGTCTCGGGTGCAATTGACAATGGGACAGTGGGGGACTCACTTGTTGATGGCGTTATGATGATGCTAAGGGAGACTGGTCAAACAACAATACCTGTGCTCAAACCCCTTCAATGCAAACTGGAAGGAAAAAAAAAGTTAAGGCACAGTTTTTTTTTTTTTTTTTTTTTTTTTGTATGACAGACTGTGATCCCTCTCTTAGGATAAAATTTTTCATGTAAATTAAATGTAGAGACAACATTCTCACCCCAAAAGCAACAACTTCTAGAAAAAGAAAACAGAGCTTGCTGTGCTGGAGGTCTACTAGAAGTGAGTGAGACCTTTTAGGCCAAAGAGACCCTGAGAAAAGTGATCCATGTTATCCTAACCAAGATTTGTTTTAGGAGGAAATAACTTGTCTCAGGAAAAAATAAAATAACCCTTAAGAGAGAGGCATTAATGGGGATTCATTCTGTTCTGGACAATTGTTTAAAATGTGTATTGCTTCAGTTTTGCCAGTTTTGCCTATTCTGCCTGTTGAAAAAAACCTCACACTGATGAGTGCTAATTAGTGCAAGACTTGAGAGCAATACTAGAGACAGATACATCTGAAACTAAATATGTTTGTCTGAGCTTTATCTAAATGTTCTGTAAAAGTTTATAAAATAAAAGTTCCGGGCTCGGGATGTGGCTCAAGTGGTAATGCGCTTACCTGGCATGCGTGAGGCACTGGGTTTGATCCTCAGCACCACATTAAAAAAAAATAAAGATGTTGTGTGCACCTAAAACTAAAAAATAAATACTTCAAAAAAATAAAAGTTCATGTGGGTTTACCCAATAAGAGCTCTCTTTTATCTGGCATAAAAGGGTCACACTGCCATTTGGAAAACTGGCTCATGTCTATCTGATCTATCTGCTTTGACTAAGTCTAGTTCTGATCATTAACTCCGTTCCCTAAATGTCTATGAGATTTAAGGCTATCCTTGATTTTTGTTAGTAGTATTGAAGTCTATAAGCTTGCAATTATCTGCAAATTCTGAATTCTATTGTGAAAATAAACCTAATTAATATAAGGACATTTGTGTAATGTGATGCTATTAGTTCTTCTTTGTATACTGAATACATTTACGTTCTTTTAGTATAGGTTTTAAAATATAAAGTTTAGGAAAGCACTTTACAAAACTTTGGTGTTCTCCAAACTAATGTTGTCTGTAATGGTAATTTTAGATTTATAGAAATAGCAAATTTAATTGGGGACTTGTTTATATCATTTAACGTTCTGTAACTGAACTTGTTATCAATAAAGTATATGTAAAATTCATGTTACTTTTTACACTGTGGTGAAAATTTAAATGTACTTTTGAAAGATATTGAAAGCCTGATCTGTTTAAAGGTTAATATTGTGAAACAAAAACATTTTGCCACTTTCCCACAAAAGGGTGTTAAAACCTTTCTTAGCTTTTGTTTGATTCATGTTTCAGATATAATGTTATATTAACTAACATTCATATAGACTCAGGATACAGCTTATAAAAACTTTGTAAAAATGGTATTTAAAAAAAGAGGTAAAGATCAGCTTCAGAAATAAAACACTCATACGTAAGATTTGTCAAGAGCTCTGCCTCATCTGAGCAAGACTCTGCCTCTCATCTTACTCCGTGTTAAGATGATTTCAAAGTAGACTAGACTTAAGCTCTTTAAAGTTATGTTCAAATGATAAATTTTTGTCATAAAGATTACTGTGATTTCAAAATAAACAGGACATATAATATATAACTAAGTAAGATTTAGAATTATAAAAAAATTATGTTTCTTGGATCATAGCCATTATCCAAACTAAATATGTTTCTGCTATTGGTAATTTCAATTTGTATTTTCCTTTAAAACTTTACAGCTGTTGCCCATTAATGTTTTTCAGAGGTACTCTTTCTAATTGAACAACCTGAGTTAATTTGAGATAATAAGCTTTCACTGATGGGACAGACATGAAATAAAGCTAACTTCCAGTGCTAATATTGATCCCCAATTAAATGGAAGGGGTAACTATAAAATTAAAACCCGTTACTCCCATTTAAACACTGGTGAAACTGGTCTGATGGATGTTTAAAACCCCAAACTTGGAGACTACAGTCAAGAAAGTAAATGGGCCAAGGAAAAAGCAGCCAATGATGGAACTCCTCCAAGGGCCCTGCAACCCCAGTGAGTTACCCAATCTGCCAATCAGGGAGATTGGGAAGACCCTAGAGAATGGGACGCCAACCAGTGCACATTCTTGCAAAGAGGGTGGTTGACCTACCTAACCTAAGAAGAAAGGCTTTTTACAAGATGCATCCCTTTCCTACAGCTGCCATAAGAAAAGACCACAATCTGGGTGGCTTGAAACAACAGAAATTCTTGTCTTGCAGTTCTAAAGAGGAGTTTGAAATTCACTGCAGGCAGGGCCATGTTGTCTGGTGGCTTAAGGGAAGAATCCTTCCCTGCCTCATCCCAGCTCCTGGTAGTGGCCAGCCATACTGGGTGCTCATGTAGTATGAGTTCAATTTTGTCCCCCCAAACAAGTTGAAGTCCCACCTCTCAGCACCTGTGTCAGCCTCACTGTAACCTCTGCCTCCATCTTCATGTGGCTGTGTCCCTCCTGTGTGTCTCTGTCTTATGTTTCTTTTCCTTTTCTTTTAAGGACACCTGTCATATTGGATTCAAGGCCCAGGTTGCTCCAGTATGACCTCATTTTAATTTATTATGTCTGCCAAGATCCTAGTTCCAAAATAAGGTCACTCCCAGATGCTGGGAGTTAGTACTTCAGTATATATTTGGGGAGGAGGGAATTGAACCCATCACACAAGGGCATTTCTAGGTTTCATGAAGGAATATTTTCCTGGGAATATGGCCAACTGTCCGGGATTAACTTTGATCATTTGTCTTTGGGAGTTTGGGTTTCCCTGTATTTCTCAGCTGAACCCAAATGGTGCTTCTTTCCATTACATTAAAAAAATTCTGGTAAATTAATATACACATCTTAAAGTTTGCCATCTTAACAGTTCTTAAGTGTAAAATTCAGTGGCATGAGGTGTGTTGGTTAATGTTGTACATCCATCACCACTGTCACTGGTGATTCCTTTTTAACTCTCAACATAAGAACTGTCAACATTTATAAGAGATGGGTTACAACAAAGAGAAAAGGATACCCAAATGGCCACCTGGAAGAGCCAGGCCCTAAATAACTGTAGGTCAGTTTGTAACCAGGGTTTCAGACACAGTGACCTTGACTATTGTCTGCTGTTCCATTGTATTTGTGATTATTCCTTTGGTGTCTTTTAGGTTCTACCTCAAGAAGTTTGAAGACTATCCCAAGTCTCGGAAAGCCCTTATTCCATTCATCTTTTAAAGAAACCAAATAAAAAAAGGAGCAAAGCTACCATAATACCAAGATGCTGACTCTCAAGATGCTGAAACTATAATTTGTAAAGTTTCATTATATAAGTATGGATGTATAAAATGTGGTCGTTATCGTTCTGCCAACTGGCTTGGGGATTCTGCGTGATGCAGAAATCTATCCTGATCTCCTATTGGAGTTTCATTTTCCAAGTGGAGACATTTTCTTCTTAGCTATGCCTCCTAGAAAGTGTAGAACTTCCTTTATTTTWTTTTTTTTAATGGCTAATCCCAGTACCTGTTGCTTTTTCCTTCTCTGTATCAATGCAGGACAACTCTGTAGCCAAGAGTTTTTGGGGTGAGGGCAGTGCTTATAGAATTTATGAACAGCATACATTTTACACCTATGCAGAGTAGCAGAGGATTAAATTCCAAAGCCATGTATGCTCAGAGCACACCCACTCCTCAATGAAAACCTAGTCACATCTTCCTTTTCCTTAGTTAATTAGGAAAGATGTGAAAGGACAGAGTCATATCTGCCTCCTTACATTGCCAAAAATGTACTGACACATTGACCCCACTTCAAGTTTGTACAGTGTCTTAATCAAGGGGTGCCTCAGTCTTCCAGAAGATTCCACAGTCCCCATTAGAGATATCAACCTAACCCAGAAAACTAGTGTGACCTTCTTGAAGGTCAGCTGTGTTGTTTTGTTTTTGCTTCATGTTTCTGGAGATCAAACCCAGGGCCTCATGCATGCTAGCAAGTGCTCTACTAATGAGCTGTATCCCCAGCCTGAAGTTCAGATTTTAAAGACAAAGAAAAGAATGTGACCCCGAATGGCTACTGAGAGAGTAAAGAAGTGCTTTGCAAAGGCTGGATGGACAACATGGCGGAGGGCGGAGAGGCAGCGCTTTCAATACCCCCTCAGGGATGGGGTCATAAAGACGCACAGATAATGCTTAGATTCTACCAATGGAGAATCTCCTAGCAAAATTCCACTGAAGAGAGACCAGCCGGTCTTTTAAGGTCTTCAGGGAATAGTCCGAGAAGGGCGATAGCTGGGTCAAATGGTGGTTCCATTCCCAGCTTTCCCAGGAATCTCCATACTGCTTTCCAAATTGGCCGTACCAATTTGCAGTCCCACCAACAATGTACAAGTGTACCCTTTTCCCCACATCCTCGCCAGCACTTGTTATTGTT